CACACATTCATACATACATACATTCATACATACATACATTCATACATACATACATTAAGTTAAAAATAGCATTTCATTATTATCCGGTATATGCAATATTTTACAAACCGACAAAGAAAATATCACACCGGGTGAAGAAAAAACAAGGAATAAAAAGCAACTTAGTAATAATATAAAACGTTAAAATAAAAAGAATCTCGCCATAGTATATGTGGTTCCGGCAATAAAAGTTCGATTACGTTCACGACGATTTAAGTGGAAATAAAGATCGCTGAGTAATGTTTCTTGGAATAAGAGTTTAATTGATTTTATTTTTGAAAAATTATTATAATTACGACTTGGAATATAAAGCGGGCCATTTTAACTCAAAGCGCCATTTAAAGTAGAATTATTTGTTTCGGAAAAAATATAAGAGAATAAATATTATTTGTTTTCATTCCCATTACAATTCACTTTAGTTCAAGAAGATATGTTACAGCTATTCTATTTTTTGTGATTGTTTTTTTTTTTTTTTGAACAGCAATCAGAACTTAGAATGCGTATCTGTGGCCCTATCTCTGTGTGATGAATTATTATTACCATTTCTGTAATATGAAAAATATTTTTTTGGTGCAGCATTGCCAAATCAAGGTTATTTTCACATGAAAATAATATTGCTGTAATAGGCTGCTCGAAGCGGGATCGAACCCGAGACCTCCGACTTAGGTCTAGTCCTAGCCACTTAACTAGAATTGAGCCTAAATGAATAAATATAAATGTTTTTTTTTATTTTTAGTTTTATCTGTTGACTAAACATTTCAGCAATACAAAATTAAAAATATTCTTGGTCTGACAAAAAATCAAATATTTTTGGTACTATTTAATATTATTAATTAGAATAATGTATTAATTCCAACATGATATAAACAAAAAAATACCTGTGTTGATAGCATTATGCCTTAAAATAAGATGCAAAAACTTTTCTATATGTGCAGCATTTAGAAACTGTCGAAACTTTTTAACTTTCCGTAGGGCAATCTATAGTAATCGCAAAAAAATCGAAAATAAAAATGTTTATATATCTTTACGTTTCAAAGATTTCTGAACATTTTGACATACCTTAGAAAAAATGGATGTATGTGCGTGTGTGTGTATGCGAATACAAATTTTTGTCGACGATTTTGGGAACACAGATCAACCGATTTGAATATTTCAGAAAACATTCGATTCGTATTTATAAGGAGACGGGCTGATTAGTTTTTGGTGGAGGCAGGACTAGCCATTCCGAAGTTACGGGGAAAAAGTGCCAAAAACGTTAACTCAGTTTTTAAAAGAACGGAGCGTCTTTTAATAATTCAAAAATATGTATTGAAAAGATGAAAACCTGATTAAATTTTCGGGAAGCAGGTCTAGCGGTTATAGACTCTCAATAGAAATAAGTTAAAAAAAATGTCATGTGGCGGACAAGAATGTTTATTGGACATATGTGCATCAAATTATCAGAGATTTTAAAAACGTGTATACATTTTGCGTAAATTTTTCTGATGATTTTGTGAGTTTTCTGAAGATTTTCAATTACGATGCGGGAAGTTTCAGCAATTTGGGTTAAGGCACGATGCCATGCACTCCACTAGTTTTGCATTCATTTTAGCGATATACATAAGAAGCTAATATGTTGAACAACATAATGGTACAAAAAGGTTATTTTCATCAGCATGCAATTAATCTATACTTTCATGAATTTGTACAATTAAGTCACTATTCGAGGACCTATAACATTTTAGGATGATTGTTAAGATCATGGAACAAAGTTTCTTCAAATTCCTTATAGAAAAATTTCCACAATTTTCCACATATAGAAACGGACCGGTCGGTAACAAAAACTTATCTGCACGATTCCCAATTGATACTTTTCGAACGGTTTTTAAAATTTGAATTTGTTCAGAAAACAAGAACAAATAATTTGATTTGTTTTCTGTCAATATTGAAGAAATGGTTCAACAGATCATCTTGCAAAACTAATCGCACCGATTTTTCAAATAGATGTGGAAAACACCAGATTCAAAGGTTAATTCTGACTCAAAATACATAATTTTGCCAAGTTTGGTGTCGTGTCGTGTCGTTTCAGAATGACTTGAAACATCGAAGAGAATTATCGAAGAGTATACAAAATTAGCAAACTCTCTTTTAGTAAGTACATAAATAATTTAAAAATCCTGTATTATTAAAACATTAAATGAATAAAAAATATAACCAATTATAAGAAATGTTCTGTCAACAAACGTTTATTTTAACAAAAAAAAAACAATTTTCGTTTAATGTCATAGCAATTCTTCACAAGTTCAATGTAAAAAACCACACTGTAGTGTAAAAGCTGTTAATAGGCTCATATGAAACGCAAAAAATATTGACCGATTTATTCAAAAGAATAATTTTAAATACAATTATCGAAATCTTAATAAAAAACTATTCATAAGCCTAACTCATAATCTTCTCTTTTTTGACGTTTTTTCTTCATAGTTTCTACCATTTTTTTATAATCGCATATCAGTATTATCAGCTGTAAATCAATCTTTCGAAGTAAAAAGCGAATACATTGATATATCTGGCAAACTTGCCCATCCATCTTTATTAATTAGATATACGCAAAATTCTGGGTATCGTAACGCGTGTCGATTAATAATATGTCTAACACATTTTCTAATGAGTTCATAGCTTTCCGAGATTGTCATATCTGAAAAATAAGTGTAATAATATAACAATATATTAAAACGTATAATAAATTTAATTAGAATATTCTGAGAGCAACCGTTTATTATAATATATGAAAATAATATTGAACTGTGAAATGTTGAAATTTACGAAAAAACAATCCCTTATAATCATAACCAAAATATCTTTATTGAAGCTTTCCAATATGTTATAGATACAAACTACGAATCAAAAATTTCTGAATTTAGGTACATTCAGAAAGACTTTCACAAGTAAAAAATAACATCTACTTTTACTGAAAATTAATTATAGCATCAGTAATAATTATCAAGTATTTTTGAAACATTCAAATCCATATTGAAACGACTAATTTTTTATATTTTTTTTACTCATTGAATTGTGTTAAAATGATGAAAGTAAGTATTCTTTGAAAAGGTAAAATTTCAATTGTAATTTTACGATTATAATAGCTTTTGCCACGAGATGTGACAAATTTGATTGTATATTCGGGCTGTAAACTTATTACTTTTACTCAGAGAGCTAAAATTTCTCGTGAGCTATCTAATTGTAAGACTATTAATGAGATTTATATTTTTGTATTAACAATTTTAACTCACTTGGCCTATAATGCAGATCTACAATAGGCATCGTCATTTCTCCGCATCCATGAAAACAGTATTTAGTTTTCAACGATAAACCCATAAAGTTTAATAAGTATACTTGTGGCCCCAAATCTTTATCGTATCCAACAATTATAGGATCGGCAAACAGAGGCTAAAATTATATAGATATTAAAATGTGAGCTAAAAATTAAAGAAACTCATACATTTTGGGTAACCATTCCATTATATAACATGTGCTATGAAAATGAGGGAAAATCTAGGATTTCGTTGATAATAATATATATAGTGCTACACTTTCATAATCTAACTAGCAGGATAAAGCAATATTCCATAAAGCTTTATGAAAAAACTTCACCGATTCATAAAAAGAATATTAAAGGTATTCACTTGATGAACAAATTGAAAGTATGAAATGACGTAATCAGCTTTGAATTAAACAGGGTTGATATTTAAAATATTGAATGCTTTAAAAATTTTATTGGAAAAGCATTATAACAAATTAATTTTTTGATACATAAGTCTAACACTTATTCTTAGCACTTAAATGCTTATTTTAACATATTTGCGTCCTTATTTCTAAAACAGAATCATCTTCAATTAAAAAGCTCCACTAAGATTTATCTTAATTGCCAATAGAAATGCCAATGCATTTGAAAAATATTAACCTTTATAGCATCATACCAAATATAAAAATAAGTAATTTGTTGATGTTGAATATCAATGAATAATTGACTTTAAATTCTTCATGAGAATAAGATTTTGAAATCATCTTATTTATCAAAAGTAGGTTTTAGATAAAAAATAGTGTACGTAAGGTTCACACGCGATTGAAGTAAAACTTGTTTGCTACTGTACAAGATGGCAGTTAAGTGAAAATAAATACTTCATATAACAATTTTGAATAATGTTTTATTAGTAATATATTAACACTCGCGATGCACTTATTTATTGGTGTCAACCGTTATACACATTTGTATAATAATAAATTATAAATTATATATTTATATTAGCATTTAAAATATGTATAATATTTGAAAACAATAATTTATTCAAAGTCATACTTCAAATATGATCGGTTTGTCATTGTAATTAGCATGTAGAATTGAACTTTTATCAGAGAAATGAAGTAATTGCTGATTAATAACTTTTATAATATTCGTTCACATGGTGGATTATGTTAAACAACGGCTAAACAAATATCGTTTTTGCAACTTCACTCATCATAAAATAATTGTCTTTGAAGAACTTCATGTAATTAAAATTAACATACATTTATTGACTCGTGGTATTTTTTTTACTTTTTTGCTTGTGATATAATCTCATTCTTTGAACAGCTGTAATATCTATTCTACCTTAAAAATATTTTTTCATTTCAATCACTTCAAAGATTTATAGAGACTACGAATAATATAGAAACTATTTCAATGAACTTATGTTTCATACACGACGCAAATGCTGCATTTGTTTTATTATTTTCATTATAATAATTTACGGGGAACAGGGTAAAATATTCTTCTGATTCAGGCATTTTTAATTAAATCAAGATTTGTACTACCATGTAACTTTAAAATGTTATTTATCTATGCCGATTTCCTTGTCGATATCGATACGCATACAACGACAGATGTTTATTCACATACGCGACGACTAATCACAATCGACCCGTATAGAAATGCAATCATCGAGAGCGAATGACGAATCACTGGCACTCAACTCTTATCTTATCTTATCTGCCGTAATGCATTTCCGTTGCATTTGTTGTGCGGATTTACACCCTGGTCGCGCCTAAAGAAGTTTTACTTCAAAAATTATTTAGGCTGTTTCTGTTTTCAAGTTCTATAAAGAATTTATTTAGTGGAAATTTACGGACCAATTCTCCGAAAAAATAGACCGCAACACAGCCTTATTATAGCAACACTATATTACCCCATAGTCTTCATATAAAATTTACTAAACACTGTCAAAATACTATGTATTTGCGGTGCTGTCGGTCTTTTCAGACATAAAATTTAACCGAGAAAACGCACAAACGTCAAAAAAGAATATTATCATAACCGCATCTTTATGACGTGCATTTATAACACATACTGAGCTTAGGTTTTATGAGAGAAATGCATTTTGATAGTTTTTAGTACCATTTCATATGAAGAAAAAAGCTTAATACAGCTCTGCCATAACAAAAGTATGTTACAGTCTATTTTTTCGAAAAATTGACCCGTTAGTATAAAGAATTTTATTGATTTTCATTTCTCAATAACTCACATTTGTGTGTTCAGGAGTCGATAATGCATCAGTTGCTATATTAATTATCCCTTTAATACTTAAGCTGTATCCGTGTTTTATTCTAAATAGATTTATAGTCAGCTTAATATGATTGACCAGTTGTTCGATATCTGATGGATCGCCTTCCGCTGCCAATAATAGATGTTTGTCAAGCTCGTAAATGTTTGCCCTTCCTTCGATAATAATACAGAGATTATTTTTTATGTGAATTAACGGAATATAATAGAAACTAACAATAAGTTTTACCTGGCAGAACAAATGCACTTGCTGATGTATTTTTAACGTCAGCGCACAACATCACGTGATCTTTAAATTGCACAGCAATTATACCTCCCATAGTATACAAATATTCGACAAAATTGAAAAATGTATGAAAATATACTATTAAATGACAAAGTTATATAAGTGGTTTCAACTGTTTTTATCAGTACGTCATCATTTATCAGAAACAAAATTAGTTTGTTTTCAAATTAGGTTTGCTCGTAGGTAAGTGACTAAAACGACCAAGGTAGTAATTGTTAGTTATACAATATAACTAAGTCCATCACTACTTCGGAGTTTTTTCTAATTAAATTCTATTCTAGTTGAAATTAATAAAACTTCAAAGTTCAAAGTTTTAATTAACCCACTTTTTAAACAATCTAATGTGAAATTCTGTATCAAATAACATGATTTTTTTTAAGTTACGAAAAATTGATATATTTTTCTTTTTTTTTAGATTTTTTAACACCGGCACGCCCGTCGCGCATCGGCAATATGTTTGTACCTGGCATATTGCATATACATACATTTTAATGAAAAAAATTGAGAAGAATGTTGAGATATATAACAGTAAGACCTGAAAGTTTGGTTCCAATTAAATATTTATTTCTTTCTCTAAAAGTTCCTGAAAAAAAAACAGATTTTTGAAACCTCTAAAGCAGGCATCCTATCTTCAGTTAAATCAGCCCTACAGCTTATAGGACTCGTAAGTTATGATTGTTGTTGAAAAAATAATAATAATAATAATAAATAAATAAATAAACTAGTAGTGCATGGGATCGTGCCTTAAGGCGAATTGCTAAAACTTCCCAACTGTAATAGAAATTTTTTAAAAATTCAACAAAAAAAAAAATTAGATTTTCTTGAGAATGTTGTTTTTCTTTACAACATTTTTGAAAATTTTGGCGTTTGAAAAATTCGACAATGTTTTACATTGTTTATTTTTTTACTTTGCATACAACATTAGTAATATACATTTTGTCAATCAACTTTACAATTTTATTTTATTAGATCATATATAATTATTTAGCGCACCATATAATCTTGTTTTTATCAACAATATTAAAAAAAATAGTTGGGATTTGAATATTGAAAAAATTCAAAATATTTGCCTTTTTTGAAGTTTATGAAATTTTTCCAAAATATTAATATTTTATGAAAACTTATTTTTGTATGAAAATTTGATCGATTTTTGAATTTCTTGAAAGTTTTTGATACCCATTAATGACGTTTGATCCATACTATCGAAAATATAGAATTTTTGATCATCAATTATCATTTTTTTAAATTTTGCAAAAATGTATATCATTAAAATTTTTTAATGGTAATCACTCTAGTGATTAATGTACTACATAATGACAAGTCCATATGCCAGATTTTTTTAGGTTTTGATATAGCTTGTTCAAATAAATTATTTGATTTTTAACTTCCCGTAGGGTAAGTTATAGTAATCGCAAAAAAATCGAAAATGAAAATTTTTATATATCTTTACGTTTCAGAGGTTTCTGAACATTTTGGCATACCTTAGAAAAAATGGATGTATGTGTGTGTGTGTGTGTGTGTGTATGTGTGTGTGTGTGTGTGTGTGTGTATGTATGTATGTATGTACGTGTGTGTATGTATGTGCGGATACAAATTTTCGTCGACGATTTCGGGAACACGGATCAACCGATTTGAATAATTCAAAAAATATTCGATTCGTATTGATAAGGAGACGTGCTGATTAGTTTTTGGCGAAGGCAGGTTTAGCCGTTCCGAAGATACGGGGCAAAAAGTGCCGAAAACGGTAACTCAGTTTTTGAGAGAACGGAGCGTCCGATTTGAATAATTCAAAAAACATTTCACTTGTATTGACAAGATTAAGAATCGATTTTCATGAAGGTAGCTCTAGCGGTTTCGGAGATATGGAGGAAAAAGTAAAAAAATGAGCCATTTGGCGGTCAAAAATGATCATTAGACATATGCACATCAAATTATCAGATATTTTATAGAGATTTTAACAATAAGTATACATTTTGTTAACATTCCTATGGGTTCCGTACCAATGCTCATGCGTTAGACAGCGACACGGCGCTTACGCGCTTTATATTTTGTCCCTATGCAGTTAAAGCAGTACGATTGCTTTGAAAAGAAAGTTCAGATCTTCCACAATATGTCAAAATAAAAAAAAAATTTTTTCAAAAAAAAAAAACAAAAAAAAAAATAAAAAAAAAATTGTTTTTAAAAAAAATTTTTTTCAAAAAAAAGTAATTTTTTGTCCAATTTATAGTTTCTTAAACATCTTATTTTTTCGAAGTAAATTTTTTTTAAAAATGTCAATCGTTTTTAAAAAAATAATAATTTTTGGTACGGGAAGTTCCAGCAATTTGCCTTAAGGCACGATGCCTTAATTGCCTTAAGACAGAATTCCACTTACAGCTAGTTTTATATATGAGCACTGCTTCTGTCTTTAATTATTTCAATTACAGTAAGTATCATCATGTCACTATGCATTGTAAAATTCTGGACGTACTAAATTGTATTTTTAATAACATTATAAAAAAGTTTACTTCTTAAAATAATTGAGTATTTATAAAATTATTCACTAATTATGCAATTTATGATCAACTTCATTTAAGACTAATTTGTGCCAACAAAAATCGCGAGTTTAATATTTTTAGAAAAATGACAACAAATATTTAAAAATGGTCCAGATAAATAAAAATAATTATAGCATTGTTAATTACAGAATAAGGGATCGGTTAAGCTGTAAACTTGATATTGATCTATCCCTTCAAAAAGTTTTAAAAATTATCTAGAATAATTTAAAAAAACGCAGAGAAAACTTATCTCAATATTTTGTTTGTTAATAACGCAGAAAAGTCTAGAATCTACTTTTTGCCAAATATTAATCTCCGCCGGATGTCTTTCAAACAATGTTACAAGTATAAATAAAGAATTAATTTTTGAAGTATTAATTACGATGGAAAGGTTCAGTCAATATTTACATCAATGTAAATATTAAAAATTATTGAAACCCTTTGAATGTTTTTAAAATACATATTGATTCAATTTGGATACCAAACTGTTTACAGTAATGGAAACGATGAAAGAAAAAGTTAACAAATCGGAGTATTCTATAAAATATTAATTGGAATTAGAATTACTACCATATAACGGTGCCACTTTCTGACGAAAACATACCTGTTGTAAAATTGATATTATCATTGTGTATTATATGCACTTTGCGTGATATATATTTGTGAACAACGAAGCACATAATATGTACATTTACAATTATATCTAAATTTATTTTCTGCAGCATGTCAAAGTTTAATATGATTTCCAAAAAATATAGCGGGTTGATTCCGGTGTCGTGGAAATTAATTAGCGTGACAGTTTTTCATCATTTCACTAACACTAAAGTAATATATATTAATAATTTTGCTTTACTAATATAATATATTTAATTACTAGGTAGTTTTAGCGTAAATTAAAAAAAGGCTTATATAATTAAAATTGATGAAAAAAACTTTGAAAATGACTTATAGTGAATTTTGGAAAGAGAACCTTTTTAACTCTCAGGTGCCATTTAATTTTTTTTATATATACTAATAAAGACTAAAATACTACATTAAAAATGTAAATTACATACATTTCATTTTATTTAATTTATTGATAGAAGAAAGTTCATGATACAAATAAAATTTTACTCTAGAAATGCTTCGCGGGCCGCAGAAAAATATTTAAAGGGGCTCGCGGGCCGCGGGTGTTTCACCCTTGTTTTATTGTATTTGATGCTTCAAAACAAACTAAGTCGTTCTGAGTATCGTGTGTATACAAACTTCCGACTTGTATTTTACCCTTTCGACACGGATGCCGCCGCTCCGGCGACAAAATTCATATAAAACTCAGTGTTCGCAAGTTGAAATTATTAAATTGTCCCGTTAGGAAAACAACAGTGTGTAAGGGGTTAATATAAGCACAAGTAGTATATTGGTACAAGAAATGCCTATTGTAAAACTAATTCAATACCTAAAATGCTTGACACGTTCCATTGTTTTTATTTTATTTAGCCATACTATTTACCACTTGAATTTATGTTACATAAAAAAACTTGCATGATGATAAAGTATTGATTTTATTCAAATCAGTAAGTTAGTTTTATGGGATTTGATTTAGAAGTTCCAGGTTGATGTCTAGCAGTAGTAATTACGGCTCTCACTTAAAAATATAAATAGCAATATATTAAAAGTGAAAATAGCCCTTGCCCAGCATTGCTGCGCAAATAAAGAAAAATCATAAGTCTTGCAATAAGTGCAATTTATATATAAAGCATTCTCAAAATAAGTCAGCATAACTTATGAAAAATATGTAAAAATCTAATGAATTCAAGTGTAACTCGAGAAAAACTTTTTTGGTATTGTATACATTAATTTTTTTTGTAGGCACAGATAGCTTAACCTTTTTTCCATTTTATTAGTGCACTGTATATTCGATATGTATATCACAAAATCCAATTTTGAACCTTCAGTCTTCGGAATTGAGCAATGCCACGCTTAAATATCGCTACATCTGGACTCGAAATGAAACCGAAGTGCAGTTTGGCTGGAAATATTTTCTACTTTTGTCGTGTGCGAGGAGAAACGTCTTATTTGCGTGAATCAAAGCTATAAATGGACTCGATATTGAGACAATAAACTCTGAGAAAATGTTCAAATCGGAACCCCTAGAATAGCAGATATTCGCGCCAAGCGACGCTTTTGACAGGGCATGTGTCTCGCACAGCGTTCGCCTGACGTTTCATCTGTCCGATTCAATTCAGACGAAGAAAGCTTTGGGATCGTTTTAAAAAATCAAATAAAATAAATTATTACACAGGACGGAATTATTGGAGAGGAAATAGCTTTTTGCGAGAAAGATTGAAGTTTTTTTCAAAATCTCTTTCTGGAAATGTGCTTTTTTATGTTTTTAACTTTTAATATCCAATGATAAGTGCGTGAAACATGTAGGGTCAACCCGGGTAAATTAACGGACCGCGGGTAAAAAAGTCCACCACTGATATCTCAAAAACAAGTAATTTTTTTTATTTATTGA